AATATCTTGTTTTCTTCATCTTATGGTGATTGAAAGTTTTGCTGGGTATAGTAATCTGGGCTATCATCTGTGGTCTCTTAAGAGTCTGCAGGACACCACCACTCCAGGCCTCTCTGACTTTTAGAGTCTCCCTTGAGAAGTCAGGTGTAATTCTAATAGGTCTGCCTTTATATGTTATTGGCCTTTTCCCCTTGCAGCTTTTAATATTCTTTCTTGATTCTTTATTTTAGTATTTTGATTATTGTGTGGTGTGGGGACTTTCTTTTCTGGTCTAATCTATTTAGTGTTCGGTAAGCTTCTTGTATCTTTTTTTTTTTTCCGAGACAGGGTTTCTCTGTGTAGCTTTGTGCCTTTCCTGGATCTCGCTCTGTGTACCAGGCTGGCCTCGAACTCACAAAGATCTGTCTGCCTCTGCCTCCTGAGTGCTGGGATTAAAGGCGTGCGCCACCACTGCCCGGCAGCTTCTTGTATCTTTATAGGCATGTCCTTCTTTAGGTTAGGAAAATTTTCTTCTATAATTTTGTTAAAAATCTTTTCTGGACCTTTGAGTTGGGAGTCTTCTCCTTCTTCTCTTCCTATTATTCTTAGGTTTGGACTTTTCATAGTGTCCCAGATTTCCTGGATGTTTTTTGTCCAGAATTTTTTTTTTCTTTTTTTTTTTGGTTTTTTGAGACAGGGTTTCTCTGTGTAGCTTTGCGCCTTTCCTGGAACTCACTTGGTAGCCCAGGCTGGCCTCGAACTCACAGAGATCCGCCTGGCTCTGCCTCCCGAGTGCTGGGATTCAGAATTTTTTTTTAAGATGTAACATTTTCTTTGACTGTTGTATATATATTTCTTCTATTTTATCTTCAATGCCTGAGATTCTCTCTTCCATCTCTTGCATTCTGTTGGTGACGCTTGCGTCTGTAGTTCCCATTCGTTTACCTAGATTTTTCATTTCCAGAATTTCCTCAGTTTGTGTTTTCTTTATTGCTTCTATGTCCATTTTCAGATCTTGAACAGTTTTATTTGTTTTCTTCACCCATTTGTCTGTTTTATCTTGGTTTTAAGGGATTTATTCATTTCCTTCAGTTTGTGTTTTCCTGGATTTCTTTAAGGGATTTATTCATTTCCTCTTTAAGGACCTCTATCATCTTCATAAAGTTGGTTTTAAGATCGTTTTCTTGTGCTGCAGCTGTGTTGGGATGTTCAGGGCCTGCTGTTGTAGGATAGCAGGGTTCTGGAGTAGGATAGCAGGGTTCTGGTGGGGCCGTATTACCCTGGCTGTTGTTGATTGTGTTCTTACACTTGTTTAGGCATTTGGGTTAGGCATGATTATAGGTCCAGGTGCTGATTTCTGAGTTTGTCTTTGTTTGATGGGTGTTTTGTTCCTTCATTTCTGTTTCCCCTTTGGTCTTCTGGTCTTTGTGGTCTGGATTTCTGGCTGCCAGTGTGACCTCTGGTCCAGCAGGGAGTCTCTGTCCAAGTTGGGGGCTGGACTTCTGGTGGCTAGCTTGGCCTTTGGTCCAGCAGGGGATCAAAGTTGAGGATGGGACATAATGATGAAGACGGGATTGGGGATTGGGGATAGTGTTGGGGGGTTGGGCACCAAAAGAGAGGTCTGTGGATGGGCTGCCTATGGCTGGTGTGGTTCAGCAGTGTCTGCCTGAGTTGCCCATCTATTTTTCTGACTGGCATGACCTGCACCAGTTCTTCTAACTGGTGTGGCCTGTACCTGAGCAGCAGGTATCCTGGGGTGGGGGAAGGAGCCTGGCAGCAAGGGTGGGTAGTGGGGTGGGGAGGGGTGGCGGCAGGGGTGGGTGGTGGGGTGGGAAGGGGTGGTGGCAATGGTGGGTGGTGGGTGGGGAGGGGTGGTGGCAATGGTGGGTGGTGGGTGGGGAGGGGTGGTGGCAATGGTGGGTGGTGGGTGGGGAGGGGTGGCGGCAGGGGTGGGTGGTGGGGTGGGGAGGGGTGGTGGTAGGGGTGGGTGGTGGGGTGGGGAGGGGTGGTGGCAGGGGTGGGTGGTGGGGTGGGTGGTGGGGTGGGAAGGGATGGTGGGTGGTGGGGTGGGAAGGGGTGGCGGCAATGGTGGGTGGTGGGGGTGGGGAGGGGGTGGCGGCAGGTTGGATCTTTGGGATCCAAGCTGAGGGTGTAGGAGGGTTCCCAGGGGGGGTGGGCCTCTTAGCTGTTCTTTTGAAATGGTGTGGCCTGTACCTGAGCAGCAGATATCCCTAGATTTTTTTCATATATTTTGACTATGGTTTCCCTTTCCCCAATTCCTCCCAGATCCTCCCCACCTCCTCTCACCTAAATCCACACTCTTTCCTTTTCTCCTTAGAAAACAAATTGGTATCTAAAATAATAATAAAAACACTAAATTGGAAACCATAATATATATGCAAAAGACTGTAAGATTAAAAAAAGAGCCTCCAAAAACGCCATTGAGTTTGTTTTGTGTTGGCCTTCTACTGCTTGGCTTGGTGTCTGCCCTTAACAATGGTTTGTACCTCCAGTGAGACTCTATTGGAGACAACTAATTGTTCATTTGTGAGTGGTTATCAATTGCAGATAGTGTCAGGGTTAGGGTTGGGGGCTTGTGTCCACTTCCCCTCTCAGCACAAGACCCCATCTGGCCCAGACCCATGCAGGCCCTGTGTATGCTGCCACAGTCTTGGTGAGTTCATATTTGTGTTAATCCTGCTGCATTTAGAGGGCCTTATTTTCTTGGTGTCCTGAATCCCTTGTGGCTCTTAAAGTCTTTCTGTCTCCTCTTCAGCAGGGTTCCCTGAGCCCTGAGGGGAGGGATTGGATGGAGACATCCCATTTAGGACTGTATATTCCAAGGTCTCTCACTTTCTGCACATTGTCTAGTTGTGGTTCTCCATGTTCATTCCCATCTACTACAGGAGGGCGCTTCGCTGATGATGGCGGAGCAAGGCACTGATCTATGAGTATAGCTGAATGTCATTAGATGCCTATAGTTCTTCTTTTTTTTTTTTTTAAAGATTTATTTATTTTTTATGTGTACAGTGTTCTGTCTGCATGTATCACTGCAGGCCAGAAGAGGGCACCAGATCTCATTACAGATGGTTGTGAGCCACCATGTGGTTGCTGGGAATTGAACTCAGGACCTTTGGAAGAGCAAGCAGTGCTCTTAACCTCTGAGCCATCTCTCCAGCCCATGCCTATAGTTCTTGTTCTAGGATTGAGGCTTCCTGAGACTTGCCCATTCTGTATTAGCATGTCTATTGGTGTTGTCCTTATTCAGGTCACATTTAGGCAGCCATGTTGGTGAGACTTCTGGGCATAGATTCTCTGAATTGTCTAGGAGACACAAGAGATTGACTTTTAATAGTCTGCCCTGGGCTTTAAACCCCAGAGTCCATGAACACTCTACCCTTGAGCTGCCCCTGAGTCCAGATATTTAACTTCTAAGTCTTGTGTCTGGGAGTTTCAGACTACTGCCCATGTACAACAGAGCTATAGTAACACGAATTGTCAAAATGCTCAGCTCAGAACTTAGAGGAAGCTGAAGAAATTGTTCACATGCTGATGGGTACAGAAACCCTGGAACATGTGTCCCTAGATGGGTTTGAGTTTCTCTGATAATGGAGTCTGAAGACTCTACTCACACTAGGTATGAATCTCATATGAACATTAAGAATAGTTGTCATTTGGATGACAGTGCATTCTACTTAATAGCCACCTATAGATTTATTTTTTGTTAAAGCAATAAATCTCTTAAAAACTCATCTGTTGAATTGGGATCTATGAGCCTTTTAATAGGGTTTTTGAAAGAGGGTGCAAAATTTATAGCTCCGTATAAATTGCCTGACAGGGAAGTTAAGGTTAGAAGAGCTTTGTTCAGTCGGTCTGTCATAGTTGAACCCAGAAGCAAAAAGACCTGTTTCATCCTCCTCCTGCAGTGCTAGGTGCCAGGAGCCTCGTTTTTAGAATAGTATTCTCTTAACTTAGGGTGGCAGAGCGGACGGAGTTCTATTACTCAGGAAGACATTTCATAAGTACAAGACTGATTTGAAATGTTGACTGATCTCATTTAGTATTCTTCATGTCAGGGAAAGACAGTGCATTTGTGCAAGTCAGAATCTGGGAGTCATCTTAGACCCTGTTCCTTATCTGTCACAGGTGCATGCAGTCACTCTGTCAGATCTTAAAGGTCTCCTGGTCACACACCCACTCTCCTCATGGCCACCACTCCAGTCTGCACCATCACCCTTTGTCTGAAGAAGCCACCTCCCCCACAACAGAGTCACCTTTCAAAACACACACCCGTGAGAGCATCATTGCTTCACACTGTTCTCAGGACAGCACAGGGAATGGCTAGCCTGTGGATGATAAGGTCTCTCTCCAGCGTCACCTTGAAGAACTGCCCTTGCTGGGATCTGTGCTCCAGCCTCACAGCCTCTTCTTGCCCTTGAGAAAGCAGCCCAGACACCACTGTTTGCCAGTGACTCCCTGGCCCCTCCCCCATCAGAGCTGTTTCTTGTCTCTGCTCTCTAGACCCACACTCCTTTACTCATGGGGTCTGCATAGATCTAGAATTAGACATTCGAGCCAGGCATGGTGGTTCATGTCTGACATGCCACCATATGGGAGGCTGAGGCAGGGGGATCACTGCACAATTGAGGTTACCCTATATAGTGAAAACAAATTGGATATTTGGTACTATGTTGGGCGTGTGTGTGAGCGCACATGCCAGAGGTTAACTTTGAGTGCCAGTCCACTGTGATGCGGTTACATATCTTGCTTCTGATGTAAGTGCTGGGAATTGAATTCAGGTCCTCATGGTTGCATGACAAGCATTTTACTGACAGGCATCTCCTCAGCTACTGGTGGTGTGGTAGTTTGAATTATATGTGTCTCTCCTGCAGAAAACAGGCTCCACAAGCTGCATTTATGCCCATATTCTCATCAAGTTCCAACACTTGGTTCAGGGTTGGAAAAAAGTAGTTGCTCCATATATGTGTTGAATGAATAAATGGCTGTTTTTAATTGTTTAGGTAGAGGAAGAAGAACCCACTGGATACATTCGATATGAAAAATTCCTTCCAGTGATGACCAGAGTACTTCTGGAGAGAAAGTAAGGGGGTAAACCCAATTTTAAGGCAGGATAGCTAGAATTACATTCATTTCAAAACATTTGACTTGGCCAGGTGTGATGCCTTATGCCTGTGATTCCAGCATTTGAGGGGGCTGAGGCAGGAGGATTGTCACAAATTTGAGGCTAACCTTAGTTACATAGTTTCAGGCCATCCTGAGCTACATAGTTTGGCCTCAAAACAAAACAAAACAAAACCACTTGGCTTTTTATATTTTACTTACCCAGTATATGTCTTAGGGTAGTTTCCTCTAGCCTTTCAGGGTTCTTCAGGCTGGTTTAGGGGTGTGCTTATAAATATCAACCATGCTAGTGTTTATTAATCTAAGCAAGGTAAATGAAAAGGTGAAGGAGCTACAAAAAAGAACAATGTTGTAGTTATGTTTAATTGTGAATTATCATTTTAAAAGAAAAATTAACACTAGTTACTTTCCTAGCATAAGTACAGCATTAGCATTAGGCATTTGAGTGATTGTAGAGGTTTTGGTCCTAGATAAATTTATTTTCATATCAACGAGAGATGCTAATAGGTAATAATAAACATTCCTGAGGGGTAGGCACTGTTGATTTTCAGATCCAGAAATCCAAAGAAATTTCATCAAGGGAAATGCCATTAGCTTCGTATATTAGTGGCTTTTATTTTGTTTAATGCAGTCATTTATCATGTAGAGACTGAGATAAATATGCTGGCATTAATTCACTTTATTATAAAATTACAGATACAGACCAATTGCTGAAGATGTCCTTCTTAGAGCTTTTGAGGTAGGTGAGCTCCAGGTTATTCATGTATATATGAAAAATTAATTCATCATATAGAATTTATTCAACAAAGAAAATAAATCTGCTTTCCCCAGGTTTTGGATCCAGCTAGACGAGGGTTTCTGACTAAAGACGAACTGGTCAAGTTCATGACTGAGGAAGGTCAGAGTGCTTTGTTTCTTTTAAGAGTAATTTATGCAAAGATTAATAGGTTTAAAGATGTTTATTTTTTTTAATTTTTTTATTTTTTGGTTTTTCGAGACAGGGTTTCTCTGTGTAGCTTTGCGCCTTTCCTGGAACTCACTTGGTAGTCCAGGCTGGCCTCGAACTCACAGAGATCCGCCTGTGCCTCCCGAGTGCTGGGATTAAAGGCGTGCGCCACCACCGCCCGGCCCGTTTATTTTATTTTTTTTTAATTATGTGTGTGTGTGTGTGTGTGTGTGTGTGTGTGTGTGTGTGTGTGTGTGTGTGAGTGCGGTACCCATAGAGGCCAGAAGCATTGTGTCCCCCTGTAGCTGGAGTTACAGGTGGTTGCCACCTGACATGGATACTGGGAACTGAACTCAGGTTCTCGGCAAGAACAGTGCATGGTCTTACCTGCTGAGCCATCTCTGCAGCCTGAGTGAATATGTTTTAAACAGTTATGCAAAAGTTATAGGAGATGATACTTTAAAAGCAATTATTTGGTTAATAATTTTGGTTTGGTTTAGTATTTGACTTTGTGTAATAGAAGTGTAATGATTGCTTGTATAAATTGTGTTTACCTCTTTCACTTAAAATACTTCCTGAATAAAAGACATGACACTTAAAGAACACAAACTGTCATAAACCAATGTCTTTTAAGACAGAAGACTTGAATTATAGTATATAAAAATTTCCTTTAAAAGACCTTCTTAGGTGGTAAAGTTGTAAACAATATAGCCTAAATTGAATGTGAGTTCACATAAAACTATATTTTCTTATGATAATGAGACTTCCTCCCACAAATACCTATATATTCCCTTCAAACGTTCTCTTTTTACATTCGTATATACATGTGCTTTCCCTGACTGTAAGCAGCTGGATGGACAGTCGTTAATGCTGCTGACACACACACACACACACACACACACACACACACACACACACACACACACCCTATACTAATATACTAAGGGAGGCGTTCTGCTTCCTCAGCTCAGCTCCCAGATGCACAGAGCAAGTCCTGCGTGATGCAGCAGTCACACATCAGTTGAGAGCATGGACATGGGTATCATTTTGAGCAAGGAGACCAGTATTGGAAGCTCTGTGCATTCCTGGTTTGGCCTTTTTAACTCAGGTCACATCAGGAAACAGGAAGTGAGAGAAGGAATAGTGTGAAAGTCATAGCTGCCATCCAGGACCGCCCACCATGTTAAAATCATCTGAGTGGTTAACTTTATTAATTAACCAAAGATGAAAGGAAGTAAACCCTAAAGTGTATTGGGCCACAGGAAATGACTAAAAACAGCCACAGAGGTCCAGTGACTCCTACTGTGTGCCTGTTGTATGTTTGTTGGTAAAGCACAGTGGGAGGTAATGATACTGGAATCTGATCCCTTTCTTGAGCATATTATAGTCTTACTGGGGAAGCAAAGCTAACCTGTGAGATAGATCAATAGGAGACATTAGAAAAATAACTATCAGAAGATCAATGCAAGCTCAAACTAGCCTGGAAAGCTTGGCCCGGGGAGGCTGACAGAGAAAATAGCTTCCTTGAGAAGGTAGATTTATTTGTTTGCTTTTGTTTTGAGACGGGGTTGCGTTCCGTAACCCAGGTGAATCTGTGTATCCCAGGCCAGCATTAAACTCAAGGCAATTCTCCTGCTGCTGCCTCCTAGATGGGATTACAGATGGGAACCACCATGCCTTGCTTCAGAAGATAGGGTGAGCCATTGAGGGCAGGCATAAGAAGATCTTATATGTTGTAGTCCCTCACATATCATAGGTATGAACATATGAGTTCCAACAAAAGAGCTATGAATGAACAAACAAGTAGCAGAATGAAGACAGGTAAGTCGGTTTGTGGGAAATGGATCAAGCAATAGGAACAAAATCTGGAAGAAAGGCAGCCAGGCACATGGAGGGAGGTGAGCTCAGCCAGCCTGCGAGTCCTGTTGGCCAACAATAGGAAAGGGATGGAGGTGGATTGGGGCTAAATTATAGAGGCCTGCTCTTGAGTTTGGGTCATCCCCTGGGCGGTGGAGAGTTGGACTGAGTCACCCAGTTCAGCCCTGCTGTGGGAAAGAGATACTGGTGCTGGTCGGTTTGTAGGTGAGTAAGAAAGGATCAGCTAGTGAGATGAGTTGGGAGTCCCCTTCAGCATTCCCAGATTCCCTATATGGGTCTGGCCTGGCGTAGGGAATAGAGAAAGGGAATTGTTGCAGCAGAACTCTATCACAGGACCTTGGGCCGTGGTGACTAACAGAGAGCAGGAACAAAATGGGAGAGGAGTATAAAGTAACACCAAGACTTTGCCCTGGACCACGGAGTCAATGGTAGTAATGCTGCTGACTGAAACAGTGAAGTCAGGGGCTGGCTGCACTGTGTGTAGGGACAACATGGCCGTGAGGGTCACAGAAAGGTGCTTATGAGAATTTCCAGGACGGAATACTTAGAGAGTTCTGCACTTCCGGACAACTGTTGGATATCCTAATAGACAGAGCCTGCATTAGTTCTTTTCAGAGGAGACTATAAATGGTTTTAGTTATTTATTCCATGTTGTATGAGTCAGTATATTTGATAGGTATGTATAAGATGCACCATGTCGTCTTAATGTGTCATTATTACTGGATGTAATATATCCTCCTTCTAAGTGCAGTTGCACCTGCCTAGTCCAGTACAATGGTTGCTTAAGAGGTAATTCTTTTCGAGACAGGGTTTCTCTGTGTAGCCCTGGCTGTCCTGGAACTCACTCTGTAGACCAGGCTGGCCTTGAACTCACAGATGCACCTGCCTCTGCTTTCTGAGTGCCTGGATTCAAGACCTGCACCACCAGGCTTGGTTAAGAAGTGATATTTTGGTTCTGAAAACTCCAAATTGTTTTGAAGTATATCCAAGTTTGGGAACTATAAAGTTACTTCCACAATCTTTTCATGGTATCCACAGAGCAGCCAACACACCTTTAAGTTTACGAATGTACATTCTACATGCCCAGGAGATTGTAAGATAAACACTGCAAACCATACTGAATCAAGTACCTACAAGACAGAGTCCATGTGTGTCCAGGATGTATATTGCATCAGATGGTATTTAGCATCAGGGAAGATCTCAAGTCTTTTTTAAAACAAATACATGTTGCTATGTTTCAGATGTTCGTGCAAGCACTATTTGAATCATAACACATTTAATCCTTATCCCAAGCCCATGGGTGGAGAGTGTTACCATCATCTGTATTGTGTAGAGTGGGAAGAGAGGTTAAGCAACCTGCCCAAGGTCATAAAGCTAGTAAGAGGGCGAGAGTTTGAATCTGTGAAGCTTGTCCGTCAAGCTTGTGCTTTTCCTGCTATCTTAAATCAAGTACTGTACAGCTCTTTCCTTGCCCAGTGTGGCGGTGACTGCTGTGAGCACGGCTTAGTCTAAGCAGTACAGTGGAGTGCTTCGGCCGAGGTTGGTGCTCTGGCCTTCTGGCCTCAGACTCAGTCCCCACTCACTTGCAGGGCATGCTGCATTGCTTGTGTGCTGTAAATGGAGATGGTAGTTCTCCCCTCTTGGGAGGTGTTGGGAGATTAACTTAGTCAGTTATGTGTGAAACACTTAAATCAGTGCCAGACTCACAGCAGTAGTCAGTGAGTGCTGGCTGCTGGGTGCTTCTCTCCCTTCCTTCCTTCCTTCCTTCCTTCCTTCCTTCCTTCCTTCCTTCCTTCCCTCCTTCCCTCCTTCCTTCCCTCCTTCCTTCCTTCCTTCCCTCCTTCCTTCCTTCCTTCCTTCCTTCCTTCCTTCCTTCCCTCCCTCCCTCCCTCCCTCCCTCCTTCCTTCCTTCCTTCCTTCCTTCCTTCCTTCCCTCCTTCCCTCCTTCCTTCTTTCCTTCCCTCCTTCCTTCCTTCCTTCCTCCTTCCCTTCCTTCCCTTCTTCCCTCCTTCTTTCCTTCCTGTCCTTCTTCCTTCCTTCCTTCCTTCCTTCCTTCCTTCCTTCCTTCCTTCCTTCCTTCCCTTCTTCCCTCCTTCCTTCCCTCCTTCCTTCCTTCCTTCCCTTCTTCCCTCCTTCCTTCCTTCCTTCCCTTCTTCCCTCCTTCCTTCCTTCCTTCCCTTCTTCCCTCCTTCCTTCCTTCCTTCCTTCCTTCCCTCCTTCCCTCCTTCCTTCTTTCCTTCCCTCCTTCCTTCCTTCCTTCCTCCTTCCCTTCCTTCCCTTCTTCCCTCCTTCTTTCCTTCCTTCCCTCCTTCCTTCCCTCCTTCCTTCCTTCCCTCCCTCCTTCCTTCCTTCCTTCCCTCCTTCCTTTCCTCCTTCCTTCCCTCTCTCCCTCCCTCCTTCCTTCCTTCCTCCCTTCCTCCCTCCCTCCATTCCTTCCTCCTTCCCTTCCTCCCTCCCTTCCTCCCTCCCTCCCTCCCTTTCTTCCATGCTGGGAATCCCCAAGACCTTGCACATGGTAAAAAATCATTCTGTCACTAATCTGTTTCTCAGACTTTGGTTATTTTTTGTTTGGGTTTTTTGTTTGCTTTTTGTTTTTTGAGATAGGGTTTCTCTGTGTAGCCCTGACTTCCCTGGAACTCACTCTGTAGACCAGGCTGGCTTTGACCTGCCCTCTGCCTCCCAAGCACTGGAATTAAAGGGGTACACCATCACTACCTAGTTGTCTGTTTTTTTTAAGTCAAAGCTAAGTCTAGCCTCAAGCTCACTTCTGCAGCCTGAGTGCTGGGATTGTAGGTATGCACCACTACACCTGCCACCCATTATTAGTGTGCTTTTGAGACTTACATCCAAGTTTACTTGGCAGTGGATTTAGATAACAAAAATCGGAATTTGTCACTTAAGTATTTCAGGAATTCTTTCTTAGGAAGTGGGTGTGATGATGCATGTATATGAACCTAGCACTCAGAAGGCCAAGGTAAGAAAAATGTGAGTTTGAAGTCAGACCCCTGGACTTCATAGGACTCTGTCTCAAACAACAACAAAACAAAACAAAAATTAAAAATGAAAATCACAAAGCCCTTACCTATCTGCCTAAGTTCTGTACTGGTAGTTGAATTCCAACATAGAAAGCACTGTGGACGATGAGAAGTGTCTTAGGCTAATAAAGTAGGTAACGTGGTATTTGAATGTAATTGGCCCCCATAAGCTCATAGGGAGTGGCACCATTAGGGGGTGTGGCTTGTTGGAGGAAGTGTGTCACTGTGGGGGTGGGTTTTGAAGTCTCATATATGCTCAAGCCACACCCAGTGTCTCAGTTCATTTCCTGTTGCCTATGGATCAAAGGTGTAGAATTCTCAGCTCCTTCTCTAGCACCATATCTGTCTGCACACTGCCATGTCCCACCATGATGATAATGGACTGAACCTCTGAACTGTAAGTGAGCCACCTCAATTAAATGTTTTCCTTTATAAGAGTTGCTGTGGTCACGGTGTCTCTTCACAGCAATAGAAGCCCTAATTGAAGACAGAAGTTGGTACCAGAGACTGGGGTATTGTTGTGAGAGGCCTGACTGTAGTCAGAAATTTCTCTGTCCTGCCTTGCCCAGCAGTCCAGGTACATCTCTCCCACCCATAGTCCCACAGCCGCTTATAAAATAATTACTCAGAGGCTTATATTAATTACAAACTGTATGGCCTATAGCTTCAGCTTCTTGCTAGCTAGCTCTTTCATCTTAAATCAACCCATTCCTATTAACCTATGCATTGCCACATGACTTCGTGGCTTACCAGTACTTTCACGTCTTGCTTCTCCTGGCAGTGGCTTGCAGGTCTTCCCCTGCCTCTGCCTGTCCTCTTCGTGTCTGTCCAGTTCAAATGTACTGCTTAACCTTATTCTGCCTTGGCCATTGGCCAAACAGCTTTATTTATCAACCAATCACAGCAACACATATTCACAATGTACAGAAAGACATCCCACAGCACCTGACCATACTTTTGTTTGAGGGAACTTGGAACTGTGGATTATAGAAGCAGTTGAATGCTTTAAGTGCTGCTTAATGGGCCATACTAATAGGCACATCAAAGACAATGGTGCTGAGTGTGATTTGATGAGCTGTGGGGGCCTGGCTCAAGAGGTTTCAGAGGAGGAAATATTAATATGTGGCCTAGAGACCGTTCTTGTGATATTTTGGTAAAGAACATGGCTGCTTTTCCCTCTTGTTCAAAGAGTCTGCCAGAGGGTAAAGTGAAGAGTTTTGGATTAATTCTGGTGGCAGAAAAAAAATCTCAAAACAGCCTAATATAGACGCTGTTGTGTGGTTACTAGTGTTCATGCTTATAAAGATTTATAGTGAAAAGGAGCGAACTGAGAAAGGAAAAATACAAAATGTACAACTTGAGGAGAAAAGGAGCACCAGAAAGTGGAATGGAGTTAAATCCTGTGGTCAAGGAGATAAACAGATTAAGAAATGGGATAAAGGGAGTGGGTAACCTCAGGGCAAGATCCCACCCAGCTAAGTTTCCAATTTATGAAAAGGAATAAAAGCAAAGCTCAAAGCAGGGTGTGGTGGTGCACGTCTTTAATCGCAGCACTGGGAAGGCAGAGGAAGGCAGATCTCTGAGTTTGAGACCAGTCTGGTCCCCACAGATCCCGTTCTAGGTCAGCCAAGCTTGGGCCATGAAGGAAACCATGGAAAACAGAAAGTTGGTAAAGATGTAATTGAACGAGGGGGCCATGTTCCAGCCCCCAGAAAGCAGCAGAACTTGGTAGCTTCGGCCACTTGGTTCTGGAGTTAAGGATAGAAGAAAAGGAACTCTGGACTTTGCCTCTGCAACTAAGGAAAGCCACTGAGGCCAGGCTTCACTGATTGGAAGCCTAAGAGAAGCCATTGACTGAAGCTGTGAGGCTGAAGCCTGGATTACCTTGGAGAACCCAAGCTGTTAGAGATGTCAGAGTTGTGGGCTACCTGCTGAGGAAAGCTGCTAACAGGGACTGGAACCAGCTCAAGAGAGAGAAGTGTGTTGCAGTCAACAAAGCTGAAAGGAATTGGAGAGCTGAAAAGCATTTTGACATCAGATATGGGGATGCAGAGTTTGGAGTTTGCCCGGCTGGTTTTCAGACTTGCTTTGGTCCAGTATTTCCTCACTGTGCTTCCTCCCCTATGTTTTAGAATGGTAACGTATCCTGTGCCATTATATGTTGGAAGTATGTGATCTGTTTTTTTTAACTTTGATTTTATAGGGGATTACAATTAAGAGATTTCATGAATCTCAAAAGAGACTTTGAACTTTGAAACATTGTTGAGACTGTGATAGACTATGGGGATTTTTGAAATTGGACTAAATGTATTTTGCATTATGATATTGTTACAAGCTTATGGAGTTCAGGGAGTGGATTATGGTAGTTTGAATGTAATTAGCCCTCATAAGCTCATGGGGAGTGGTACTATTAGGAGGTGTGGCTTGTTGGAGGAAGTGTGTCACTGTGGGGGTGGGCTTTGAGGTCTCATATATGTTCAAGCCACACCCAGTGTCTCAGTTCATTTCCTGTTGCCTGTGGATCAAAGGTGTAGAATTCTCAGCTCCTTCTCCAGCGCCATGTCTGTCTGCATGACATCATGTCCCACCATAATGATAATGGACTGAACCTCTGAATTGTAAGCCACTCAATTAAATGTTATTTCCTTTATAAGAGTTGCTGTGGTCATGATGTCTCTTCACAGCGATAGAAACTTTAACTGAGACAGTAACCCTCCTCAAGCCTTGGTTTGCATAAGACTTTTCCCCTAAAGGTCAAGCGTGATGGCCTGGATGCCCTGTATTTAAATTAACATTGGGACATAGTTCTGTCTTAAATAGCCTGCAGCTTTTTCTATATTCTTTTGGAGTTTCTGTCCTGCCCTGGTGAAGCCAGTTTCTAAGATTGCTCTCAGTTGTTACCTGAGTGTAATTAAAGCCCAGATTTTCTCTCCAACTTTTGATTTCATCTGACATCAACACCAGCCCAGACTGAAACACGGGGGAGTTTTAGGCTGATGATGAGTGGCGTCTCTGGTGGGGTTAACCCAGTGTGATTGAGACAGACCTGATGTAGTAGTGGGTGAGTGTCTGGTCCCTCTCTTCAGCAATAGCTAACATTTAACCATCTCTCCATAGTTTTACTAAACACAATAAGTTTTACTAAACACTTATAAGACTTTAGCTTCAAGCAAATACTTTTGCAATTTCAATAATTTTAATTTAAGTGAATAAACAACTTTGTTCATGATGTTTTATGTACTCCTGCTGTTTTGACTGAAATAATGTATCCTATAGGTACCAGCAGGGTAGTAAATCTGCAGCCTTGCAGGGTGTGTGGCAGCATGCCTTTTGAACCTCTGGATTCTCCTGTGTTGGCTGTACAGCTCCAGTGGAGAAAAAACTACAACAGCTGGGGCCTGTGGGCTCCATGGTGATGAAGCTGGCTAGTGGAGAGAGAAAAACCTCCTGACTATAAATGATGATCTCTCTTCTTGTCTCTCCAGGTGAGCCTTTTTCTCAAGAGGAAATGGAAGAAATGTTGTCTGCTGCAATTGATCCTGACTCAAATTCCATCAATTACAGGGACTACATCACAATGATGGTGATAGATGAAAATTAAATGCTCCAAAGACTTAATTTCTTTGTTCTTCTTTTAAGACGACTATAAAGACTTAATTTCTAATTGAAAGGATAGTTTGAAAATTGCTTGTCCTAATTAATTTCACACTTTAGCTTATTATTTCCATATTTAGTGCCTTATGCCATAATTGTTTCAAGGTATTTTGTTTTGTAGAGATGACCAATTTAAAACATAAATTATGGAATGACAAATTAATTATTTAAAAGGAACTGTAAAATACTTTAACGCTAAGTGTATTATTGCTTATTTTCCACAACTAGGCCAATGTTACCTTGAAATTAATTAAACAGAAAATGAAGATTGATCATAACACCCTAAGATTTGCCATAGAAAGCTCTTGTGGGGCAGAACAGCCCCAGCCTGGACACGGACAACATTGTGGTGCTGGCTGCTTTTTAGAGCAGCATAGATGCTGCTGAACGAGGAGCAGAGCAACTGGAATAACCACTAATAATTGATTTCTCGTGAATGCCAATTACAAATCTCATTTGAGAGTCTAATAGCTCCGTGTAAAATTGAAATGTGCTCATCCAGCATGTTGCCATTTATGGAACAGCTAAAGGAGGTGAGATAATTGAATCCAGAGAAAGGAAGACTGAATGAAAACTGGAAATGGCAATTCCTTTTGTGCTCTTTAGAATCCTCATCTATTCAGAGTATCTGTCATGGGAATATTGTCCTGAGTACTGAGTGTATTCAGTCTGTTGTTACCAGAATGGAGTACCTGAAATGGACTGACTCTGTAAGAAAGAGGTTCATTTAGCTCACAGTTAGAGATGTTAGGGTCCAGGTAACACTGTGTATGCTGAGTGAGGGCCACTCTTGCATGCACCTTGCCAAGGTGCAGCTAGCCAGACAGGAGCACGTGGTGGAGCAGTCGCAGAGACTGGGAGGGGAGTCAGGCTTGCTCCTTTTACAGTGGTCCTCTCATGAGAATTACTTTCTAGGCTGGGGAGGTGGCTCAGTGGGTAAAAGCATTTGCTGAGTATGAAGATGGATTGGATTCTAATTAATCAAAGGCACAGTTTAGTGAGGGAGACTTGCAAGTCAGTCAGCAACCACACATTCAGGGACTAAACATTGCACACGGGAAGCAGTTGACTCAGCCTGGTGGGGGTGAGGGTGTTTCTAGTGGACAGTCTAAAACAGGTAACATGGGATTTACTGACTTAATAGTTCGTAAGTTCTGAAAAAGTCAGTCTTTGAGTAGTTTACTTCAGAGACAGAGCGTGTCAGCAGGAGAACATCAGATCAAAACCCCAGAGGTGTCATGAAACCCAAGAATCTGGGAATTGAAAGTCTGGTTTATAGATATTTGGGACCCGATGAGAGATGAAAAGGTCGGAGTGGGAGACAGGAATTGTGTCCTAAGAGATAATGGGCTAATTGGGGTTAAGGTTTCAGTGTTTGAATGTGAATTTGATTCTGAACATCACAGAGAAAGTAGTTGGAGTTGTAAATAGCCTGAGAAACAACTTGAAGTGTGGTGAGGAGAGCAGCTGGCAGGCTGGTTAGCAGGTTGAGGGACTTGGGAAAGTCGAGCACAAAGCCGGGCTTCTGACTTGAATACTTGGTAAATAATGATAGCAGCCATTCAGATAAGACACCCAAGGAGCAGGCTAATGAGCTTGACTGTGGTCCTCTCTGGCTTAAGGAGCTCGTAGAACATAGAAAAATCAATGGGATAAATAAGGGGATATCTGCTAGAGACATGGGCTTTGGAGCTATCAGCACATAGTGTCCAGGAAAGAGAAGAAGATCAAGGACAGAACTGGAGGAGATAGTGAGTTGGGGGGGGGGGGCAGAAGAGGAGCCTGTAGAGCATGGGAAGAAGCCTGAGAGGAGGGGAAGCCATGGCAGGAGAGACTTGAGGAGACTGGAACCAAGCCAGATGTGTTGGAGATATGAAGTAACTGATGATGGAGAAACATCCCTCAGTTTCAGTACCAGCACATTCACTGAGAACCTCTCTCGGGGTAGACTTGCCAAGTGGCAGGTAGTGAAGTCCAGTGGCTCCAGGAATAAGCGGATGTGAGAAAGAGCCTGGAAGACAGGCTACTGAGCAGCAGAGAGGAGAGAGAGGGTAGAGGGAGGGAGTTTGGAGGATATAGACTGTGCAGGTATGCTGTATGAGATAAGGCAGAGGGCACAGGACACTCAGAGGGTCCAGGGTCCCGGGCTACAAAGGTCTTGACCTTGGTTATGGACATGAACTAATGTATGTGGTCTCTGTCCAGTGGCCTCTAGTTCTACTTTCTTTTGTTGTTAAGATAGGGTCTTGCTGTGCTTACCACTTGTGACTCTTCTGCTAGGGCTAGATCCAGGCCTGGGCCTCGACACTTGGCTGTACTGTCTGTGAATGAGAAGGAAGAGGGTAGGTTACAGAGCTAGAGAGATCATACAGATTTGAAGTGTTCTGTGGGAAATGAGAGAGTTGGGGGGTAGTCTACAAAAGAGTTTTCAAGAAATCCTGGAGGGTTTTGTCTAGTAACCCAGGCCCAGGAGCAAATATGGAAAGTGTTGTTGAGTCAAAGTGGGTGAAATGCAAGGTCAGAAGGTCAAGACTGATGAGGAGTCAGCAGAAATGAGTGACAGTGATGGTCTGTGGGCTAAGGTGGGAGGGCAGTGCAGCCGGGATTCGGTTCCTGTGGAGGGCGGTAAGACTCCCTCCGAAGGGCAGCACCTGCTGTGTGGTCAGATGGCATGCTGTTCCTGGAAACAGTGTTCTGCTTGCGGTTTGACTTGCTGAATTGCCGTAGAGCATTGCTTTCTTCCACGCTTGTATAATTAGTGATAGTACACAGTACTTAGCCATCTCTGACTGTGTGCCAGGCACTGTTCTAAGTGCTGTACTTAGTTCACTCACTTAACCTTGGTGATGACCCAGTGAAGTAGGTACCGTGACTCTGGGGAGTGACAGAGGTCACGTAGCTATAAGGGACTGTATTAACCGGCCTTTATAGGTCGTGCTGTGGTGTCAAATCTTCACAACAAAAGTCATTTTTTGTTCATGTTTCATGTCAGCTGGGACTCTGCCTTGTGTGTCTTATTTTTCTTTACTTCTTTCATAAGTAGAATGACTGTATGTCCCCATTTGCCCTGGGTAGACCCAGCCTGCATGTGCTGTCCCAGCACAATCATTGACATTTCTCCTTTTTACTCTTAGAATGCCTACATGAGGTGGGTAGGAGGAGGGAGGACAGGGAAATCTATGGTTGACAAGTAGAATGAATAGAAAATCTCTTAATAAAAAAAAGAAAAGAATGCCTTCATGAAAATGATGATGACAGCCGGGCAGTGGTGCCGCACGCCTTTAATCCCAGCACTCGGGAGGCAGAGGCAGGTGGATCTCTGTGAGTTTGAGGCTAGCCTGGTCTACAGAGCAAGATCCAGGACAGGCACCAAAACTACACAGAGAAACCCTGTCTTGAAAAAAACAACAACAAAAAAAAACAATAAAAAAGAAAATGATGATGACAATCACTCTTGGGGGCTGGGCAGATGGCTCAGTGGTAAAGGTGGTTGCTCCACAAGCCTGGGGACCTGGTTTCAATACCCAGTCCCACATAAAAAGCTGGGCACTTATCTTGGCAATGGGGAGGCATACAGAGGAAGATCCAGCCTATTGGTGAGCTCCAGATCCCCAAAGAGGCATTGTCTCAAAAATGAGTGAGTCCTGAGGAACACTTGATGTTGACCCCTGGCCTACACATTCATGCACACACACATGCCTGCACACCCATACAATGTGACTATGTATACTAGTACATATGAATCAGGTCTGGAAAGTTATATGAATGCAACAATGGTTGTGATGGAAACCACCCCTTCCTTCAACAGTTTCACAAGACAGACTTTTCTAGAATCACCTAAGGTTTGTTTAAGGTAAAATCCAAGTGGAAAATTGACACACAACTCACTTAACCATGCATGTTGGGATCCCCACCTGCAGATGAAATGAGCCTCAAGCCTTTAGGTAAGGGCAGGGGACTCAAGGAGGGGTGTGGTAACCCCAGGAGCATTCACAGCCAGGCTTTGTGATGGCAACAACACATGACAGACATGAGACATAACTCATCAAAGTGAAAGTCGAATCATGGTGCAGGCTGGTGTACCATGCAGTCACCAAGCTGGTGCGGGCTGGTGTACCATGCGATCACAAAGCCGGTGCAGGCTGGTGTAACATACAGTCACCAAGCTGGTGCAGGCTGGTGTACCATGCAGTCACAAAGCCGGTGCAGGCTGGTGTACCATGCAATCACCAAGCCGGTGCAGGCTGGTGTACCATGCGATCACCAAGCCGGTGCAGGCTGGTGTACCATGCGATCACCAAGCCGGTGAAGGCTGGTGTACCATGCGATCACCAAGCCGGTGCAGGCTGGTGTACCATGCGATCACCAAGCCGGTGAAGGCTGGTGTACCATGCGATCACCAAGCCGGTGCAGGCTGGTGTAACATACAGTCACAAATCTTGCACCAGTGCCTAACACATGAGGTGTGGACTTGTCGGGAGTACCCAAGATGGCTCTGAGTATGTAACCCTGGCTACATCAAGTAAATAGGGTGAGTGCTTCCCAGGATCTTGATAGCAAGAGACCCCTCATTCTCTCGGCTCAAGGAAAGGCTCATATACAGAAAGTAGCGAAGAAGATGCCTTAGCGCCTGTCCCTGTCTCACTAGAGTGTTAGGAGTTCAGACGGATGTTGCACTCTGTGCCGTCTCCAGGGCACCCTCTGGTTAGTAGTCTGGTTGGTTTTAATTTCAGCACCATTTTCCCCCAGGGTCAACAAAGAATGCAGCACAGACCCCAAAGGAAGTTGTGCTTTAGTCCTCTATTTGCCAAAGGAGCAGGGTTGCCACTGTGCCACGGGCCACGCCACGGGCCACGTACCTTTGAACTACACCACACTGAACACTTTCCTTTATACTGTGGGTGGGCATTTTCCGTCTTAACTCACCTCCTTGCCCCACCTCTGGTTTAAACCACAGTGTTGTT